TTGTAAAAATTCAATTTTGACACAATGTTTTTATGAACGGCACTTAAGCGTCCTTAATTACATGTTCTACCAAGCTTCAGATGATAATAAGATTTTAGCGAATCCTGGTGAAAATACCTAGTTTTTGTTTACAGTTGATGTTTGGAGTAACCCAGTACATATTTAATGAAATTGCATCAATCTGATTGGTTAATGGTATCCGGATGATATTTTCAACGGAATGTTAATATTTTGATGCGACTTGACGATGATACACATTACCCCTGCACCTGATAATATTCAGTGAAAGTGTTGATGACTTTCTCCTTTAAATCCTGTAAATAAATTCAAAATTTTAAAAATCAAAGTCCTCCCATCTAGGGGAAGAAGCATTAACATTTGAGAGACATTAACCCTTTCAACAGTGTAGACCATAATGGACTCATCCATATCAATTCATGGCAGAGTCTACTGAAGTTACATAGGGGTGAAAGGGTTGTGCAGCAATTTACATTTGTATTTTCTTGACACGTGTAGGCAATAATACCTCCACTTCTGTAAAATTATTTTTCGTGAAAATTCATTGCATCCGGATAAAACTGAGTAAATGATAATCTTAAAACTGTCATGTGAAGTATTTGAAAAGTTTTGAGATATTTTACATGAATTCCTGTACCGTGCCTAATGATAGTATTAAGTGTACTTTTAGGGGCAGAGTACATTTGTATAAGGAAAAAGAATTATGAAGTTCATGCAAAGTAATTGAAAATTACTAAATTTTCAAACTTGAAACCCTCGATATTCCATGGGTTACGCTCACTTGCGATGTCTGCACCCCTAGTAGTAGACTGGCCACCGTCTCTAGAATATTAAATAATTAAGAAAAAACTAACTCTAGTAATTTTGATCACTTGGATGTCTGATTCTAGAGTTCTAAACTAGGGGGAGATAAGCTAGTAGTAAAATGCAGTCGAGAAATTCTTCATAAAAACTTAGGGGCTGGTGGCCAGTCTACCCTAGTTGATGTTGTGACTAAATCAAAGACACAATATTGGCTAGTTGATTGGTTCCAGGTAAAAATAAGTGACCAGTTGCTAGACTGATACCTGTCCTTTGAAAATTACAGAGGAGTGACACCCAACCTAAAAGCCGGTCAATTTTACTGGTCAAATTTAGGTCAATTTCACTGGTCAATTTTACTGTTAGCTGTACAATTCTTTTGATGTACATCAAAGGATCAGACTTGTCTATTTGTATCATCTACAAAGTTGTGTGTACAGAGCCTTCGATTCCGTCAGGACATATTCCAGGGGTGCAGAAAACGTAAGGGACTGTAACCCCTAGACTATGGAGGATATGAACACCTGAAGAATGACATATGATTAGGTACATGAGGAGGAGCAGGGAAATCCTTGTATCTCTTCCTGACCATCAGTAACGATGAATGGAAGTTGAGCAATCTCCCCTTTCCTGTCTGTTGTTACAGGCCCGTCCGCTGTCAGTATACATACAGATAAGGGGAAGGGGTGTCATTCTTATGATGGAGGAGAAAGTCCTGTGCCTTATCATGACCAAGCTATCTTGACCAGTGGTCATCTGATACCTGGTCAGCAGTCATCTGATCTTGACCATTGGTCAGTGCTGATGGATAGGCACCTAATGGACCCTATATATGTCGACTGGAATGGCTATTTAGATACCCTTCATAATGAAACAAAGAATTAAACTCCAGGCTCGGGGGAACTTGAAACAGCCTTAATTCAAAATGTTGATAAAATTAATATTTCTTTTGGAAATCTGTCTAAATTTGTGATATAGTCGGTATTTATTGTTCTGTGTTTGATGATATATCTGTAAACTCACATTTTGATGTAGAACTCAAAACTTCAAAATATTCAAATCTGGACATCAAAGAATCTTTTAATGACAATCAATTTGAAAAAAATAAATATTGAAGTAGGAGAATTTCAACGTCTATTAGGCAGAAGCAATTTCACCACATATTGCATATTTTGTTTCCAGCTTTAAAAAATATCCAAATATCACCTTATTCTCCCCCGGAGACACATTTGAACTCTTCCAATTCAAAGGATGGAATAGTTCATTATGAAATTTCAGGGGTGAATGAGTTAATAGACCATTACACTTAATAAGAATAAAGCCTGATAATATGTTTATATCTATAAGCTTGGTTTGTAAAGCTTTCTTAGTTTGTTGATATAAAAAGTAGAACTTTTTCAAATGTGTCTACAACCGAATGAATGGTCTTGGTCCTCGTGTCTAATTTAGAACATCAAAATATGCTGCCTTTTTAAGATCTAAGGATTTTATTCGAATAGTTAAGAAGATGCATTGACAGAGAATTTGTTTTTATGATGTGAGGTTAAGCTAACTATGCTTAGACAACTATACTCATTACAAGTTTAGTCACAAAATCATTGACTTTCAAAGTTGTAATAAAATGAAATCATGTGATTTTGATCAGCTTTCCGAAAAAGATTTCAAACACACTTTCAGAAGAATTTTATTTACATAATTGATGGTTAAATGCACTATTCTGATGCTGAATGTAATTTTCCCATAAAGAAATGAGATGTTTTTACAGATCATGTAGATAAATTGCATATGAAAAACTTATAAAATGGACGTATGTTGTATTGGTATGCATAGTATACACATGAAGGTGTAACTTTGTGTCAAAATATCTATTTGCTGCAAGTTTACATATTTCAGGGGTAATTTTATTTTAGTGCTTTTGCGTTTTCCTTAGGCAAAAAGCTGAATATTAAATAGTGGAAAATTTCTCTGGTAAACATTTTATGGTATTAAAATCTGTATGTCAGATAACGGTACTAGCTGTTATTGGTGGATATAGATTTTGTATGAAATCTGTGCGTCAGATAGCGGTACTAGCTGTTATTTGTGGAAATATATTTTGTATGAAATCTGTGGCATCTTTTAAGTCTTTAAACGGACTGTATGTTGGGGTAAACATTTTGTGCAAACTTCATGCATCCTTAAATATTTACTGCCTAAAGCCTCTCTTTTGTTAGGAGAAGCACTTTAGGTTTGTATTGTACTTGTTATAGGATTTGTACAGTGAATTATATGATGTTTATTGTGACCGTTACCGTCCCTCAGGGAAAATTCTGGAAGCTGAAAGTAATAGGCCTTTTTTTTTTTTAGCAATTTCAAGTCATGATTAGCTGAACATCAAATATTACAGGGATATGAAAGTAAAGTTGTAAAACTAAAAGAGAATGGAAACAGCCGGGATCAGTTCCAGTTTTTTAGGCCCCTGGGACCCCATGACCCTCCAGGATTACCCCTGTTCGAGATATTTTTTTAGGGCCCCAGGACCCCATAGCCCATCCATGATTACCCGTGTTCCCTACATGTATTGACACAGTTTTTAGGCCCCCATGGCCCCTCCATGATTATACCCCTGTTCCTTACATGTATATATACAGTTTTTAGGCCCCCATGGCCCCTCCATGATTACCCCTGTTTCCTACATGTATATATACAGTTAGTTTTTAGGCCCCCATGGCCCCTCCAGGATTACCCCCGTTTCCTACATGTATATATACAGTTTTAAGGCCCCAATGGCCCTTCCATGATAACCCTGTTTCCTACATGTATATATACAGTTTTTAGGCCCCCATGGCCCCTCCAGGCTTACCCCCGTTCCCTACATGTTTATATACAGTTTTAAGGCCACCATGGCCCCTCCATGATAACCCCTGTTCCCTACATGTATATATACAGTTTTTAGGCCCCCATGGCCCCTCCAGGATAACCCCTGTTCCCTACATGTATATATACAGTTTTTAGGCCCCCATGGACCCTCCAGGATTACCCCCGTTCCCTACATGTTTATATACAGTTTTAAGGCCACCATGGCCCCTCCAGGATTAACCCTGTTTCCTACATGTATATATACAGTTTTTAGGCCCCCATGGCCCCTCCAGGATTACCCCCGTTCCCTACATGTTTATATACAGTTTTAAGGCCCCCATGGCCCCTCCATGATAACCCCTGTTCCCTACATGTATATATACAGCTTTTAGTGCCCCATGGCCCCTCCAAGATACAGTTTTTAGGGCAGAAGACCCTATTGCCCCTCTAGGAATACCCCTGTTCCCTACATGTAAGAGATATAGTTTTAAGGGCCCCAGGACCTCATGGTCCCTCTATGATTACCCCTGTTCCCTACATGCTACAGATACGGTTTTTAGGGCAGAAGACCTTTTTTCCCCTCTAGGAATACCCCTGTTTCCTTCATGTTAGAGATATAGTTTTAAGGGCCCCAGGACATCATGGCCCCTCTAAGATTACCCCTGTTCCCTACATGCTACAGATACAGTTTTTAGGGCAGAAGACCCTATTGCCCCTCTAGGAATACCCCTGTTTCCTTCATGTTAGAGATATAGTTTTAAGGGCCCCGGGACCACATGGCCCCTCTAGGATTACCCCTGTTCCCTACATGCTACAGATACTGTTTTTAGGGCCCCAGGACCCCATGACCCCTCTAAGATTTCCCCTGTTCCCTACATGCTACAGATACAGTTTTTAGGGCAGAAGACCCTATTGCCCCTCTAGGAATACCCCTGTTCCCTACATGTTAGAGATATAGTTTTAAGGGCCCCAGGACCCATGGCCCTCTAGGATTACCCCTGTTCCCTACATGCTACATATACTCTAGGATCCCAATGGCCCTCTAGGATTACCTCTGTTCCCTACATGCTACAGATACTCTAGGATCCCATGGCCCCTCTAGGATTACCCCTGTTCCCTACATGCTACAGATACTCTAGGATCCCATGCCCCCTCTAGGATTACCCCTGTTCCCTACATGCTACAGCTACTCTAGGATCCCATGGCCCCTCTAGGATAACCCCTGTTCCCTACATGCTACAGATACTCTAGGATCCCATGGCCCCTAGCTACATGTAAGAGATACTGTAGCTATCTGTTGCTTGCTACACTGTATGCTAACTGTTTGCTCTGTTGTGTTGTAGGTAAGTGTTCCAGTGTCTGATCGCCACACAGCAGTGAGATACCAGTCGGCTATATTGACTGGGAGAGTAAGAGAGAGAGCACTAGGCTACAAGGCTTCACAGCCAACCATAACAAAGTGGCAGGCAGGACCAGTGTAGGACCCGCGTCTCCACGATGTTGTTGTGAACAAAAATCGGTGGAGAAATGTTAAAAAAATGTGCTTTGATGGTTATGTGTGACCTTGGAATTATAATCTTCCTCAAATAATGGGATTTAATGGCTGTTTATACACACAACTGGTGATCGGTGGGGTCCTGGGGATATTAGCCTTGGTACACTGTGAAGGTAAGACCGGTGTAGCGGAGGGCACTAATGTTATGTGTACAGGGTATCAGCATGCTGGTGTCAGCCCTGGGATATTGAAAATATCAGCTAGTTGTTGTATTGGGATTTTCGAGTCTCTATTTGTAATGTTTGAAATATCGTAAATATTGATAAGGATATATAGAACAGGGATGTTGAGGGGTGGGGTGGGGATGTTGGGGGGTGGGGCGGCGATGCAGCAGAGAGATCGTAAATATTGGTAGGATTATTGGGGGAGAGAGGCAGAGGGGTCAATATCTTGAGTATATATTGTTGTAAGGATATAGAACCAAGTGTTGGAGTCAGGGATGTTTTGGGAGGGGGGCAGCTGAGTCAAAAAGATCGTTAATATTGGTAAGGATATAGGGATCAACTTGGAATATTGAAACGTGTAATAATATTATATCATTGGGTATTGTGTATACTTTATTGATGAACAATTCAGTTATCGAGACACAATTGGGTCATCAATGTTGAGAAATTGGTTCATCAATCAGTGTACAGGTCAACGGAACTAGTCCATGTGATATTGTATTGGTAATAATAGATCTCTAGAGAAGACGTTTGAATAATGGTAAGGGTAGGTCTCTATGGACTCTGTCAGTGATAATGAATATTTATACTACACAGAGGGAGTTAACTCATTCACCCCTGAAATTTCAAAATGAACAATTCCAATCCTTGAATTGGAAGAGTTCAAATGTGTCTTCAGGGGTGAATGAGATGAGATAGAAGTAGAGGGTGTCAGTGTGAACACTTGGATATATAGAACAATGTGTCCCAGTACAATAAAATAAAACACGTAAATAACAATAGACCAGGTCTTGTCACCGGGTCATACAGGCGTGTGGCATCAATGTACGTGAGTGTATCAATGCTGGGATTACTTGTACTCCATGCAGGCTACCATTAGAGAAAGGGGCACAGTACTTGCTGTTCTGCTAGGGTTCGTGAGTGATGGTTTTAGTCAGTGTGTTAGGTATGAGTGGTGGTGCTAGCCGAAGAGTGCTACTTGATGTAGTATAGAGAAAGTGCTGGTGCTAGTCAAATAGTGCTACTTGATGTGGTATAACGTAGATGGTGGTGCTAGTCAAATAGTGCTACTTGATGTGGTATAACGTAGATGGTGGTGCTAGTCAAATAGTGCTACTTGATGTGGTATAACGTAGATGGTGGTGCTAGTCAAATAGTGCTACTTGATGTGGTATAACGTAGATGGTGGTGCTAGTCAAATAGTGCTACTTGATGTGGTATAACGTAGATGGTGGTGCTAGTCAAATAGTGCTACTTGATGTGGTATAACGTAGATGGTGGTGCTAGTCAAATAGTGCTACTTGATGTGGTATAACGTAGATGGTGGTGCTAGTCAACCAGTTAATAGCTTATGATGAGAGTGGACCACATATCGGGGCATCAGGTCATTGACTGATATCAAAATACTTCTAGTTAAATTGTTGGGGTCCCACATTAAGGATGTAGATGCCCTATAGCAATCACAAGTTATCTCGGAGTTAAAACAAAAAATAATGATTTTTTTGGCTGGTGATACACGGTGATACGCAGATGTAAAATTTCCAATGTTAAAGTTAAGGTCACTTGCTAAAAATAAACCATAGGGGTCTGAACAAGCGCATGGCAGGGCCCTCGCTGAATTGTCAGTGCTGTAGTAAATATCAGGTATACTGATGGACCTGATAATGGGGCATCATGTTGTAATGTTATGACATACAGCCTCGGGACATTCAATAATTAGCTGTAGTACTTCCGATATTCCACTGTGTATCTGATATGACTCGTTGCCTACAGTAATGCTAAACATTGATGCGTATTAATAGTATGGGACATTTTTGAATAATTGTACACGGTATAGGCCAGGCTAGGCATAAGACATCTCAACACCAGGTCAATGGAGCCGCCGTGATATTGAAACATCAGCCGAGTCTCCCAGATACATCGGTGTGAAGTGTCAATAAGGTTCGTGAAACTTGAATAATTGTAGGCCTTGAGATCCTAAATCAAGAAAAAAATGGATGATGTGTAACAGGATGTGTTGTTCGTAAGCTCTGGGTGTGCAGGTTATCTGACATGGCCGACATAAATAGACCGTTCTTTTTAAACACATTTCCTATCCATTTGCTGTTAATGGAGGAACTGAAATAAAAACCTGTCAGCTCCGGTGTGATGTAACACGCGGCAGGTCTCGTTGATGAATGTAAGGGCCACGTTATATATAATCTTGTCGACCTCGCAAGCTTATATTTTTTACTGCAGTTACATTCCCAGTTACCTGGGGTTTGGAAGTGTGCTGAGTTTTCTTAGATCACTGCAGATGTAAAAACACAGAAATATTTCAGGATTTGGAGGTGTGAAATATTTTCTTGTATTGTTGCAAATGAAAAAAAACACCTAGACTTTGCATGATGTTTTCTTGTATGCTTGCACTTGAGAAAACGCGCACACACAAAAATGTACGGGTTCAAATGTGTGAAATGTTATCTTGTATTGTTGCACTCCAAAAAAAAAAAAAGTTTTAGGATTTAGAGGTGTGAAGTGTTTTAAGTATTTCAACATGAAAAAAATCCAGAAAGTATTTCAGGGTTGGTGTTAGTAATTTTGCAAGTAAATATCCTACAGATTTTTCAGGCATTGCTAGTTTGTAAATGTGCAATGTTTTCCTAGCTCATTACAAATCAATTACTTCTAAACAAGTTTTTGCAGAGACAAGTGATATTGTGTTACATCATTTCTCTCAAAAAAGCTGTAGAAATTGGAGGTGGCAATGTATCCTTAGAATTAAGATCCTGTAAAACAGAAATTAAGGGGAGGTTAGAAAAGCCCCATTGCAGCGGAACAGGACTCCTTAAATGTTTGGATTTCTCTAGATTTGAGCCAGTGTTTAGCTCGTAGGTAATTCTAGATAAGAGTCGGTTAGTAGCTCATAGGTAATGGTAGAAATCAAGGCATTGATGTGTCCTAAACTTAAATGGTAGGATTTTGCAAGATTTGAGCCAGTTGGTGGCTCAAAGGTAGCGGTAGAAATCAAGGCAGTGATGTATCCAGGACCATTTTGTTTTGGAGGTAGCCGAGCAATGAGGCAAGTGATGAATTTGTTTCCTCTGCTCCTGGGATATACCAGTTGAGATATGTCCGTGTCTATATGATAGGCAGTATAGCCGGTGTACTACGTCATATGACATGTTTTATTGGTCAGCTGTGCACAATTTCCTTTCCATCCTTAGTTCGATGTTATAACTTCAGTTGTCAACAACGGCCATTTTCAAATTATTTATTGACTTATCAAAATTTTACAGCTCATCAAAATATATATTGGGTCCAGAAATAACCATTAAACCACAGCTGTGTAGCTTGGATTTTCTGCTTATTGTGAAAATAAAAATAATACCAGCCAAGGAATTGAACCTCGGCGGGCTTGCTGGTATGCACTGGTACAACTTTGGGCATAAGGGGCAACTTGTGTTGGACTTCTAAAGGGGTCTTTAATATATTGTATAAATGTTGTTAACTCATTCAACCCTGAAGACACATTTGGACTCTTCCAATTCAAAGGTTGGAATAGTTCATTACAAAATATCAGGGGTGCATTTGGGAAGCCCTTTTGTGGAAATATTGATAGTCTATGACAACTGTAGCGTTGTTAATGATATTTCTATGTGAAATATGATTAAAAGCTGTAAGAGCCGTGAGGAAGTTGCTACTGTTCTTAGGGATCCGCGTTACATTGCCATAAAATGGTAGCTATCGCCATAAAACGGTAGCTATTGCCATAAAGCGGTAGCTATAAAGGTACAGAAGCTCTAGTGAACCATTTCTGGAAAAAAAACCATTTGTTAAGACTATCATGAAAGAATAACAAAGATGAAACAAACAAATCAACAACAGTGGTTTTACTGTGAAAATGCAAAGAGGCCAGACTAGGATTTGAACCCTTGACCTCCGATCATTATACTATCGCTCTAACCAACTGAGTTACCTTGTCAACTGGATTACCCTGGCCAAGTGGCACTGCAGTTATATCCAGAACAAAATTAACTCATTCACCCCTGAAATTTCATAATGAACTATTCTCACCTTTGAATTGGTAGAGTCCAAATGTGTCTTCAGGGGTGAATGAGTAAAGGGAAGGTTACTGTATGTACATATGGGATAATGAGCAAAAAGGCCAGGTGGTAGAAAAACAAAATACTATTTCTTGTCTTTTGTGATTTGTTTTCTGGACATGTACAACGTATTTGGCCTTGGATCTCGAGGTTAATTTTGATATATTTCTGATTATATTGGAGTCTATTCGCCTGACACCTGTAGTTTATACATTTCTGGACACTTTTGATTAGTTTGGCCTTCTGGACTCCTGCCTTATTGTGATATACACCAATACCCTTCACTCTGTTGTTCGCTATGTTAATTGTGATGAATTGTTGAAGACTTTTGATTAGTTTGGCCTTCTTGACTTCTGCTTTTTGTGATATATACTAATGCCCTTCACTGTACTGCCTGGTATCTACACCCCACCCCTAGCTCAGGCCTACGGTAAGAGATGTATGACCAGGGGTACAGAGTATCCTTTACCCATTATCTCCAAACTTGTGATAAAACTCAGGTTTTTCATTTAGAAACTTTCCCCATTGATGCTAATGATGCTGGAATCTTGTCTGGATCTTCATCAGTCGGTATGTGCAGTGACCTTGAAATTGGGGCAAAGTCATTCATTTGAATTCTGAAGCCACTAATGAGGGACTGCTGTTCTGTAATCTCGTCCTGGTTGAGTTTATACCACAAGGCCAAACTGTTCCGATTCTTTGTACAACTGTTCTTGTACCATTGCTGGCACCATTGGCAATCTTGAACACTTTAATTATATTTGTTGTAACACTTACCAATGTTGATTTTGTCCTCGCAACAAAGATGACAGTTAATTAAGTGTTTTAATTTTCTGTTGGTCTATTTACACTTTCATCCACACA